AGCGGTATTTCTTTTGGTTTTTGTTTTTTTTTTGTTGAGACGGAGAGTCTCTGCCGCCCGGGTGGTGTTGCAGTGGCCGGTCTCAGCTCATGGCAAGCTCGCCTCCCGGGTTCCACGGGCCATTGTCTCCTGAGCGCCCCGCCTCGCGGCCTAGCTGGGGACTACAGCGGGCCTGCCACCCGCCCGTGGCGTGTGTGTTGTTTTTTTTAGTGAGAGCGGAGGTTTGCACTGTGTGCAGGATGGGTCTCGATTTTGTTTTTGGAATCGCGCCCATCTCGGCATGCCGAAGTGTTGCTGGGCCTTACAGGCTTGACCACCCGCCGGCTCCAACGTTCAGCTGCTATAAATGTTGTTTAAATCCTTGTGTCATTGTGTGTTGTGCAGGTTTTGTGTATGATCTAATCCTATTTTATTTTGTATATGTTATTTGTTTTGTTTCCGTCACAGTCGCTGTGCGTATTTTTTTTTTTGGACAGGTCTCGGCTCTGACTCTGCTTCCCAGGCTGGAGTGTTCCAGGTTATGGTTATCCGTAGTGCCCCCCCCTCCCTGGTTCAAGCATTCTCCTGCTCGTCTATATGTGTTTGTGTGTTGGTCCTGCCACACACCTGCTAATGTGTTTCTTTATGTAGTGTGTTCGGTTTTCGTCACGTGCCAGTTTGGTTCTTTTCATTCTCAGGTGATTCCCCGGTCCATAATCTGGCTGGGTATTCAGGCGAAGCCACCGTGTGTCAGCCGCGTGGCTTGCACCGTAGCTTTAGTGAGCTGTTGGTGCACTGCTGCCGCCTGCCTCAGCCTCCCAAGTAGCTGGGATTACATGCGCCCACCACCACACCTGCTAATTTTTGTATTTCTTTTTAGTAGAGACGGGGTTTCTCCACGTTGACCAGGCTGGTCTTCATCTCAGGTGATCCTCCCACCTCGGCCTCCCAAAGTGCTGGGATTCCAGGCGTGAGCCACCGCGCCCAGCCTTGCTTGCACCTCAGCTTTAGTGAGCTGTTGTCCTGGCCTTCCTCGCCACCTCTTCCATTGTGACTTCTTCTTCTCATCTTGCTGCATTTGCTTGGAATTCCAATAAATGGTTGAACAGAATAAATGAAAGCAGCTCCTCTGTCCCATTCTTGTATTTTTCTTAATTAAAATAAATCATCTTAATATCCACTCATGGTTAAAAAAAAAAAAAAACAAACAGCAAAGGACAATCCAAAATGAAGCAAGTCTCAGCCGGGTGGTGCTGTCAGCAGCCCTCGAGCTCCTCCGGTCGGTGCCACCGTGGAAAACACTTGTGTGTCCTGAGCGAGTCACAGCGGAAGCTTTTACACACAGCTCTCGCCGCGCCGTGGCCAGGCACTCTCTAGATGCTGGGTGCGTGTTAACGCGTGGAACTCACCACGGACAGGGCCCACCGATTTCCAGCTACGAGAGAGCAGGGACGCGGCGGCCCTCTCCCTCCTCTCCTGAGTTTTGCCGAACTGACTGAGATCATTAACTTAGCTGTAGGCTCGATTTTGAACCCAGCCTCAGCCCTTTCTTCCCACGCCTTCTCTGCTGTTCACCTACTCGAGGCCTGCCCAGGCTGCAGACACAGCCACGGTTGGGAGAGAACGTGAGAGACCACAGGAAGAGCGCTAAGAAGGTGGAGCAAGATAAATCCTCAGAGGGTGAGACTCTGAGTGATGGTCCTTCTGCACATCCATCCCGGCCAGGGCCGGGGTCTTGTGGGCACCAAATCCTGTCTTCATCACCAACAACCACTGAGGGTCCAGGCACTCCTAGCCCAGGAGCTCCAGCCTGGATCTCACAGCCCCTCCCTCCACAGGACTCTGGAGCTTCACAGCCAATTAGCTGGGACGAGAGACTAAGTCTATTACGTGCACTGCCCACCCCCGGAGCTGGAAACAGACTCAAATCTGCAGCCTGAGCCGGGGATCAGGGATCAAAGCCGACCTCCAGGTCTGTGATCTTCCTCCCAGCTCCACGTGGATCGCCTGGTCCGGGCGCCACGGCCACAGCCTGGGGCCTCTTTGGAGAGGACTCCGATCCCCACAGGAACAGGCTGACTTCCAGGACACTCAACAGTGAGCTACTTACATTTTGGTGGTGAAGACGGATAATCATCTTTGAAAAGCATCCGTAGTTTAAACAAGCCTCCTTCCCACGGAGTCTGTGGGGAAATAAACTGTGGTGAGATGGGCGGCTTGCCCCCCTCAGGCCAGCCCAGGAGGAAGGGGCTCGCCTCTAGGACACAGCTCCCAGGACTGCCAGGACACCGGGGCCAGAGGCCCGACAGAGGCGGCTCCCAAACCAGCCTAAAGCCTGGACTGGCCCCACCAAGGGGACTGTCAGGACCTCTGCTGTGCCCAGAGAGTAAGTCGGAAAGGTCCTCCTAGAAAGGAGACGAGACGGGGTTCGGGGGTTGGGCCCGGGCGGCGGGTGCCGCACACTTGGGCGGCAGCACCAGAAGCACAGCCTTCGCCCCAGGGGTTCTGCAAGCCCCGCCCCAGATCCTGCCTGGACGAGGCGCCTTGCCACCCCACAATCCGACACCACTCCCGTCTTCCTCGGGGCCACACACCTGTGTCGCCGTGACGTGAAGAGCAAGGGACATTCTCAGCAGAGCCTCAGAAAAGCGACAAACCCAAGTGACACCATGTCTCAGGCAAAGCTGAGACCTGCTGGGACTGCTCAGCTCAGGGGGACCGAAGCTGCTTTGAGTTTCAGAGTGAAACCCAGAGGGTGGCATGGGCCGGACGGAACAAGGCCTCGGGCAGGACCAGCACCTCAGGGCTCTCTCCTTCCTTCAGGGTTCACCAGCATGAACCTTATGTGCACACCAGCGCTGGAGTCCCCAGCCAAGTGCTTCACGGGAGCCGGGCAAAGACGACAGGCACATGGGCCGCCCTGCTCCCCACAGACACACAGGGGGCCCCAAGCAGGCATCCTAGGCTGCTGTCGCCAGTCCCTGTGCCCCAGGAGGTTCTCCAGGAGGCGGCTTTACGCCGGGGTGGCTCTCCGGCAGACCCAGCTCCCGTGACCTGAGCCACACCTGGAAGGACACAGCAGAATCCCGGGTTCCCGCCTGCAAAGGCTGCCCGCCCTCAGGCCTGCTCCCCACACACACCAGAGCCCCTGCCTCTGCCACAGCTCAGCCCTGTGCCCAGCCGCTTCCTTCTCAACCAGAAATGCCCTCGGTGGGGACACAGCTGTCACCTCAACCTTGCCAGCACCACCTTCTGAGCTCAAGTCCGCACGGGGCGGGGGCCAGGCCACAGCTGGGGATCGGACCTGTTATCCGCAGCCCGTGGCAAGGGCGGCCGTCACAGACGGCAGGGATCTGAGCAGTTTCCCCGTGGCGCTGCCACACGCATCTGTTGAGCCCCAACAGGCAGGACGCTAGCAGTGCGCGCCTCTTACCCCTTTCTTTCCTGGAATGGCGCACTCCCAGTTCATGAGGTTCATCGTGCCATCGGGATTTTTTGTTGGGACAGCCACGAAACCCTGAGAGAAAACAACCACAAAAGCACATCAGTGTGGTGGCATCTCGTTTGACCAAAACCACCGAGAACAGACCCGCGAGCCCCACCAGCGCGACCCAGGCACGCGGCCAGCTCCCTCCCAGTGGTGGGGCACGGTTTCAGCCCAGGGGGGCCGTCCGCGGCACTGCACACGGAAACGAAGCCTTCTTACAAACGGGTGGTCTTTCCTCCATGCTTTCCTCTCCTGGGCGAGTCTGCTGAGGGCGATCCCCGACATGTTCAGAGTCCCTGGAACACAGGAGGCAGAGCACGGGGTCAGCACAGGCGAGCGGGCTGCTGCCGCCCCGCCACATGCACACGGCCCGCAGTGGGCAGTCTTGCTCCTAACAGGCGCCAGCCCAGCCCAGCAGAGACTCTCCTCCTGGAAGCCGTCGTCCAACCCCGGGGTCTACCAGGGGAGGCCCCATGAGTGGCTCCCAGATCACCGGGGGTGGGGGGGCAGGTAGGACCCCTTCCCCATGGGCCCCCCGAGCCCTGGTCTGCGACACGTGCCGTGGCCTCTGCTCCACGGTGGAGACGGATGTTCAGAGGCTGGGCCGCTGTGGCTGGGCGGTAGCTGCCACCCTGTGGTGGCTGCGTGGCAGGGTCCTCACTGAACCGTCAGGTGGGGACTAGGCAGGGCTGGGTCCCTGCCTTACTATCAGGCGCTCAGAACTGAGACTCAAGCCGGGCCAGGGGGACACCTAATATTGTTGTTTTTTGTTTTTTGTTTTTTTTTGAGATGGAGTCTCACTCTGTCCCTCAGGCTGGAGTGCAGTGGCGCTATCTCGGCTCATTGCCACCTCCGTTTCTTGAGTTCAAGCAATTCTCCTGCCTCAGCCTCCCGGGTAGCTGGGACTACAGGCCCCCGCCACCATGCCCGGCTAATTTTTGTATTTTTAGTAGAGATGGGGTTTCACCGTGTTGAAGACAGAGTGGAACAAGTACCACAGGGCAGAGGCTCAGCCTCGCTGAAAGAGGAGCCCCCTACAGGGCCACCGTTCCCGAACCCTGCAGCCGCTAGCATGTCCCTGTGGCTTCAGGGGACAGACGGGTCCTGTGGGGCAGGGCAGGAGCATGGGGTACGGGACCAGGTCCCTGGTCAGAGGCAGCGGCACACACGCCAGATTCCAGCTCCACACTTCTGCACGGGACCTCAGGGGCTTGGCACCTTCGCCTTCTGGTTCCCAGCGGGAGCCTGTCGGCCCGCACTGTCCCCGGGGACACCAGGCAGGCAGGGCCAGCAGCCTCGACACCAGCCTCACCTGTCACCCTACTGGTGGTCACCTTTACCATGAAAAACAGCACTCAGGGCACAAAACCTGCCAGAGAATTCAAACCCAAGTGTGTGCTGGTTTTCAAAGTCCACGGGAACACTGAAGCTACCTCCAAGTCTGGCATCTCAGCGCCAAGCAAGGGCCACCTCGACAAAGCTGGGGGCTACGCCAGGCCTTCCAAACCGTGGGGGGCCGTCCCTACAAGGGCCCTGGTGACCTGGATGGCGCCCGCACCTGTGCAAGCCCACAAACCTCACACACCTCACAGCTGCAGGAAGGGGCCAGGTCGGCAGCTCCACCTGGGCCAGAGCCGCCGCAGCCTCACCTGGCACTCGTTAGGGAGGCAAGGCCCAGTCCCCAGCAGACTCATTGAGGAAGGAGCTCCGAGAGGCCCACATTCAGGTTTTGGGCGGCACGATGGCTTTCCGAGGCAGCAAAGCAGAAATCAGGGGTGGGGCTGGGATCAAGGAAGCCCAGGCGGGTCCAGTGTCGCCAGGGAACCAGGGTGCTGGAAGCCAGGCGGGGCTACTAGAGCCGCCTGCCCTGCAGGTGGATTTGGCTCCTTTTTAACCAAACACAGATCCTCAGGGCAGCCTGAGAAAAATCAGGCAAAGGAACCCGGGTCCTCCAGTCAGTAGGTGCTGGCATCACAGTGAGAGGGTGACAGGGGCCATCCGGGCACTGGCCTCCAGCTACACGATTAAGTTCAAGACAGGTAGCCCCAGACGGGGCCCCACCGGGATGTCCCTCCCCATGCCCTCCTCACAGGGATGCAGAGGAGCCCGCAGGCCGCCTGCCCTCTGGACCACTTGCCCGTCCCCATGCCCTTCTCTAAGTGGGGGTGGGGGGAAGCCAGGGGCCAGAAAGGGAGAAAGTGGGGGACACGGCTGGGCTCAGCTGTGGGCAGGCAGGGCTCGAGCCCAGAGTGGAGTGGAGCTCCCGCCACCCACGGCTCCAAGGCTCTCTGCACGTGTCTCCACCCTCCACTTCCACAAGGAGCAGCTCAGTTGTGGCTTCAGGACTCACGGCTCTCGCTTCCCCAGCCCCAGGGTGGGCTTCATGAGTGGCCACAGCCTGTGCCTGGTGCGGTGCAAAGCAGCCTGGTGAACGGCCGTTTTGAGGAGCCACGACCTCCCAGGTGCCCGGGGTCTGAGCGGGGCCAGGAATCAAGCAGGTCTCTGAAGCCCCAGGCCAGTGCTCCAGACACTGAAGGACCATGGCCCACACGATCCTCACAGCCAGAGAGGCCACCCCAGAGAGGCCAGCCCCAGAGAGGCCAGCCCCAGAGAGGCCAGCCCCAGACAGGCCAGCCCCAGACAGGCCAGCCCCAGAGAGGCCAGCGCCAGACAGGCCAGCCCCAGAGAGGCCAGCCCCAGAGAGGCCAGCCCCAGAGAGGCCAGCGCCAGAGAGGCCAGCCCCAGAGAGGCCAGCCCCAGACAGGCCAGCCCCAGACAGGCCAGCCCCAGACAGGCCAGCCAGGCCTGGGACCCTGCCACAGGCAGCCCTCCTGCTGAGGACCGGACAGAGCCACCTAGAGGCCCCCGTCTCAGCACCTAGCTATTGCTGTCTCAGATGTGAGAAGTCGTGAGGGTGCTCCTGTGAGACCTCCCGCCAAGGTCTGGCTGATGCGGCTGTATCCCCTGCCCCAAAGCACTCAGCACCACGGGGTGGTCTCACAGGAAACTGCACCACAGGGCAAGGAGCCACAGGTGCACACCCACCCTGTCCTAGGCAGAAGCCAGGCCCCTCCCCCTGCTCCCCCTCCTACTGGCCTCCTGGAGAAAGTGGCCAATCTGTTACAATGTAATCACAACACAGACCAAGCATTCAAAATCCCGCTGAAAATCGAATTTGCCCTTCCAAATGAACAGATAAGCACTAAGTGAATGGCTAGCAGTTACTAGACCCTTCAGAGCAGGGAACTTATATGAGGCAAAGACAAAAACAACCCTCATCTATCAGAGCCAAGCAAGGCCCAGACACTGCAGCAACCAGGACAGGGCCAAGCACTCCAGGAGCGGCCCAAAGGTCTGCCTTCTGTCCTGCTGGGCACCCGCGACCGGCTGAGCTTTAGCTTCTCGGATCACCACCTTGCTCTGCTGGTTGACAGCACCGACTTCCGAGCAACTTCCTGGCTGAGGGTGAGCAAAGCGCTCACCTCCCACAACTCCACCGCACTCATCTCCACAACGGGTGGTCGCCACGACGGCTGGCACAAGAAGCCTGTAAAGGTCCTCCTGCACCCAAACGCAAACTCTCCCAGGCTTGGGGGGGGTATTCCTTTCTGCAAGACCCCGGCACCTGCAGTCAGGAGACGCTCACCTGGCCGCACCTGATCTGCCCCAGGCCCCCAGGATGTTTCTGAAGCAAGATCCCAAAGCCTGACACACCACACAAGCGCACACCTGCAACCACCCAGTGGTCTAGGGAAGGGACCTCTGAAGGAGCAATCAGGACAAACTCAGGATCCGTCCTGTCTTCCGCTGCACAGCTTCTCTACCCAAACGCAATGTTTCTTGTTCTTCAAGAACATTCGGGGTAGGTCCTATAAAAGGAAACAAACCGAACTCCCCAAAGACAGGCACTTTGCAAACAGAGAAACAAAGCGTAACTTCCAATTATAAAAACGAAACCACTTCATTCTGCGATTCAAGCGTGACTACAGGCCACGATCACAAGCCCAGCTAATCACTCCCTTACCTTCCTCCCACGCACGTTAACTACCAGAGCCAACCACTATTCAACCGGTAAAAACCCATCCCCAAAACAATAAAACTCCCTCCAGCGAGGCGCTCACGTTCAGGGCCCCAGCAAGCGCCAGGGCAGCATCTTCAGAGGCGCAGGAAAACTTAGACTTGTTTTGGTTTTAAGGCACCGAAAACAAGCCCGCTCGCCGGCCCCCACCCCCGCGAGCCAGCGGTGTTGCAATCCAAGAGTCTCCCCCGCGACCCATCCCCTCCGTCCGCGGGGCGACAGTGACCCCGGAAGCCGCTCCCCGCGCAGGAGGAAGGCGCGGCCTCGCGGGGCCCCGGCTGCAGGTGGCTGCCCCGGCCCCGCGCCAGGA